TGATAAATTTCCCCTTCTCTAACTAGATCATTCCCATTAGCGAGCTGACAAGCCTCTAACTAGATCATTCCCATTAGCGAGCTGACAAGCCTCCCATCCTAAAAACTCTTCTCTTGAGCTTACTTCTGCCTCTAGCCAGCATCCTATTTCTCTGCTCCCCTTTGTGGTAAAATTCCTTGCACAAGTGGTCTGTATTGCTGTCTCCAAGTCCTTTTCTCCCATTCTCTTCCAGCTCACCGCAGAGGCTTCTGTCTCATTGCTCCATTGAAACTGCTCTTGTCAAGATTACCAATAACTTTTACTCATCATTCTTTCCTCCTGGCAACGCTTTGTGAGGTTGGCACCCAGGACACGACATTCTGTCAGTTTCCTCCCATCTCACTGCTTGTTCCTTCTCAGCCTCATCCACAGGTTCCTCCTCTTCTGCCTGATCTCTTGATGTTGGAGGGCACAAGGGCTTGGTCATTGGAACTCCTCTCTCTTCCCCTCAGTCCCTTCCCTCATCCAATCTCAGTATGTTACTGACTCCCAAATTCCCATGTCTATACCAGAAGCCTCTCCTGAACTCTGGACTCATATATTCAATGGCCCACTCAACACTTCCATTTTTATATTGAATAGGCAACCCAAGTTTAACATGTGCAAAAGTGATTTCCAGAACTTCCCCTAAAAAATGTCTGTACCCACAACCTTCCCTGACTCAATTGCTGGAAACTCCATCCTTCATTTGCTCAGAATCATCTATGACCCTCCTTTCTCCACTCATTCCCAATCTGGAAGTCCTAAGGACTCTACCTTCAAAACAGACCCAGAATCTGACATCTTCTGCCAATCTTCATTGCTACCACCCTGGCCTCTGCCATCAAACTTTTTTTTTTTTAATTGTGGCAAAATACATATAAAATTTGCCATTAGTGACATTTAGTACATTCACAAGGTTGGGCAGCCACTGTCACTGTCCAGTTTCTGAACCATTTTCAGCACTCCAAAAGGAACCCCCCATCCCATTAAACAGTTGCTTCCTAGTCACCCCCAACACCCACCCCCCCCTGGGCCCTGGGAATCACCAGTTGGCTCTGTCTCTAAGGATCCCCATCAGCTCTTGACTGGATCACTGTGAACCTCCCAAATGGTCTCCTCACCCCCTTATTTGCCTCCATGCCTCACCACGGTGCTCAAAAAGTGAATCAGATCGGGGCCCCCAGGTGGCTCAGATCATGATCCCAGGGCCCTGGGATTGAGCCCGGGGGTCCAGGTCCCTGCTCAGTGAGGAGTGTGCTTCTCCCTCTCCCTCGGCTCGTGTTCTCTGTCTCTCTCAAATAAATAAATAAAATCTTAACAAAAAAAGTGAATCAGATCACATCACAGAGTAGCTCAAAGCCTCCGCCAACTTCTCATCTCACTCAGAATAAAAGACAGAGTCTTCCCAGTGGCCTCTGAGGCCCTCCACTCTTGGTCCCATGTTGCTTTTCTGACATCTCCTACCACTCTCCCTACTCCTCACTCTCCTCCAGCCACACCGGCCTCCTTATGATCCCCTGAACACCCCAACATACTCCTTCCTCAGGGCTGACCCCACATGTCCCCTCTTCCTGGGAATATAACCCTTCCCAGATTCGCATGGTTCCCCACCTCATCTCTTTCAGGTCTTTGCTCAAATACTGTTTCTCAGTTAATGTTCCATTTAACACTGTGACTCCACCCCACCCTGGCACTCCTAATTCTCCTTACCCTGCTTTGCATAATTTACTTATGCAAGGAAAGTATATCAGTAAGTATTCAAGTTCTTATTGTGTTTATTGTCTGTGTGCCCTACCTTCCTGCCACAAAAAAAGCCCTTAGGCGGCCAGACATCTTTGTTGTGTTCACACCTGCCCCCCACTCCATGCCTAGAACAGTGCCTGACATACAGCGGTCTGTGTTGAATGAATATGTGACAGAACTCTGCTGAGCGGGGAAGAAGTGGGTCACCGCTGCCCCTGTCTGACCAACTCCCTCTGACCTATGGTAGCATGTGAGGAGTGAGGATGGAAGGGATGGTCACGTCATTGACCATACAGAAGCACCGGCCAAGGAACGCACTGTCCAGAGGTCCTACACCAGGGACTTTTTTCGGAGGGGCGGGGTGGCTGATGGCGGCAGCTGTGCCCTCCCTCCCTCCCTCCCTTGCCTGTACTACAACCCAACACCATCTTTCCATCCTGGAGACAGGCTAGCCTAGCCCAGCTCTCCCGCGTACCTGTTGTTGTCCACGTAGCGGATCAGCATGGGGTAGAAGGCATAGAGGTCTCTGCAGAGGACTGCAAACTCATCCAGGATGAGGAGCTCTGCCTCCTGAGTGTCTCCTTTGGTGTCGGCTTTCAGATGCTCCTCCTCCTGCACCGTCTTGACCGCCTTTTTCTTCAGCTTCTCCAGAGTTGGGATGAAGTGGCTTTTCAGCAGGTCCTGCTGGGCTTTGCTGATGATTGGCTGGGCGTACACTGCGTTTGCAAACAAAAAGCCTCCCCCTCATTTCACACGTTAGGACAATTGATGAAAGGAAAGAAGTGATACTGAAAGGTGAGGCTGTGACATTCCATGGACTCAGGACAGCCCCTGCCCTGTTCCCTTCCTTAATTGTCCACGAGGCACTTAGTTCCCTCTCACAAAGCCACAGTGGGGGCAGGGAGCCAGAGGAGAAGGTCCCTACTCCTCTTCTGCTTGTCCAGGCCACAGGGAGCCATTACCCGTGAACTCTTCATGCATGCCTGGGACTGGCCATACCTCTTAGCTCCTCATCACATAGTTTTAGGATGTTCATGTTCATCTGGTTTGGGCTCACTAGCTAGATTATAAATTCCTTGAATGGAGCCTTTTCCCCCCACTAATAACCAGCACTATGCTGAGCCAAGAGTAGGCACTAAGTACTATGGTTTCTGGTTATTTTATAGAAAAATCTGTTGTTAAAAATACATCACCCCAACCACAGTTCTCAGTCCCCAGTGCTTGAGAACTGCCAACTCACTGCCTGGGGGCCCCCCTGGGCCCTGAGGAGGACAGAGAAACTATCATCAGCTATAACGACCCGAGAGAGGCTGGGGTGGCCACCAGAAGTCAAAGAGCAGAAACAGCAACAGTGGAGCTTAGGCCTGGGATTCTGGGCCTCTTAAAGAGAAAGAGAAAACCTACATGTCTTACCCTATTTCTTAAATGGAATATCCTCTTGGTCCACTCGATAATAAAGATCAGAATCAGAGTAATTATAAAAAGTTAAGTGAAATAAAATTAATACGAGTCATGAACCACTGCCAATGTGCACTGTGTGTTTTGTGTATTTCAAAGTTTCTTTAGCTGGGGTGCATGTCAGTTGGAAATAGCCTACATCTGGCACTGTTTCTTTTAAGTCTCACTGCCTTCTTTTTTACTTTCACAGCAATGGCCGTTGTAGGAGGAGGAGGTGAAGGCAGCTTCCTGCTGAGATGCACTAACCAAGAAGCCAAAACTCAGCTAGGAGAGCTCAGGGTTCCTACCCGCCCTGCCCTGAGGTGCGCTTCTGCTCCGGCCCCAGAATCAGAACGGCTATTCCAGATGTGGGTGAGCTGGGGTTACAACTTAAAATCGACTTTGTTTCGGCACCAGCAGTTAGGTGGCCCCCCTGGTCTGGACACTCCTGTGGAATAATAGGGCGAGTTCGCTTGCCACCTGTGCCCCTCATGCTAGGCCATCTCTCTTCCCTGCCCCTCTAGGGAGCTGAGGGAGCCCATCCTTCCACTTCCTCCCTTCCTTGAATCCCTCATGAATTATAAAGTAGAGCTTCTCAACAAATTGTCTTGGGGTTGACAATATTCTTGGGCTAACAGGTAAGAAGGGAACATCAACTTTATTTACTCGCATGTTCACAGGGGCCTGTACTATCTAGTAGCTATGAGCACCCATAATATTTATAACTCTGATCTCAGTTCATTTCAGAGACAGGAAGGGGGAAGAAAACTTTTCTTCCCTGGTCTTGCAGAGCAATACCTCCTCATTTGTCCAGGAAGATAAATATCTAAGGTTGGGCTAATAGCTCCCTTTGGCCCAGCCACTGTGTTTCCTGGTCCAGTGGGTGGCCTGGGGGAAACGCCTACCACGGAGCTGTGTACACTCTAGGTCCGTCAGAAGCAATGACTTTGCCTTGGCTCTGTCTCCACAGACTCTGCTTTGACACAGAAGACACTAAATATTCATGATTTCCTGACTGTGGGAAGTATGGTTGTTCATTTTCCAAGTCTTTCCTTTTTCTGATGTTGCTTCAGGAATAGAAAATCAGGTAACAAAACTCATTAAGAGCCTACTGCATGCAAAGAGTTCTAGAGGAATGAAGAAATAAAAAAACAAAAAACCCAAAGTGATGTTATTATGAACCTAACTTAGGGAGTGTCTTAGAAAGCATAACATGAAATACGAACACTAGCAACTTCCAGTACAGCCCAGATGGGTGTGAGTTTTATACGTGTACGGAACACACAGGAGGACTTACAGGGAAACCATGGACAGTTATTACTGTAAGAGCAAATGGGATGCTTAAGTACCAAAAGCAAATAAAGCAATGAACATCCGAGTCAGGCAGAGAGTATGGAGGAGGGCTTCCTGGAGATCGAAGGGACCTGATTTAGCTGGGGAGTAGGCAGGAGCATTTGCTCCAAGACGCTCTCCAGGGGAATATTTACTGGGAACTAACTAGGAGGGGGAGGGCGACTAGTTTAGAGATGGACTGAGAGACGAAGAGAGAATGCAGGCATCCTGGCCCCGGGGTGGGGGGTGGGGGCGGGGAGAAGAGGCATTTGTGGTACCTGCAATGCGCTTCATCCAGGACGCCTCATCTATGCCCAGGTTGTTGTTGATGATTTTCAGAATGTTTCCCAGGATGACACTGAGGTGTTCAGAGGTGACCTTGGTGCACCAGGGCCCTGTGCTGGGGGGCAGGTGCTCAGGCCCCCGCTCCCACCAGTAGGACAGGTAGTTGCAGAGCATGGGCAAGATCACCTCGATGACGTGAGGCATCTCCGTGTACCGGGCCCCCGACTCGGCCAGGTCGCTGATCTCCTTCATCAAGCCTTCCAGCTGTGGGATGTCAGGACACATCTCTTCCACTGTGTCTGGCATGCCCAGAACTGACCAAGAGGGTACAGAAGAACACAAGGACAGGAATTCAAAAGCACAAATAATGCAATCCATTCTGTCTGTCCCACCCTTCCATTGGTCTTTAGACATTAAGTGACCACCCTCGAGCCTCAGATGAATGAGCACTGGATGTGGGGGAGCTTCTGTCCTCCAGCTGTTTGTGTAAAGATGACAGCTTCCAGAGGCTGGGTTAGCCTCCTGGAAGCCATACTCAGGCTAAAACACTTCAACTTAAGGCCAAAGGAGCGTGACAGAGACAGCTGGGGGACATTTCCTAAGACTTCCCTGAGATGAAGCCAGTCTCTTGGCTTCTCTCTCCTGGCAGAAAAGGTGATACTAGATGGAGAAAAGCAACTCATCTGTGTTTAGTTAAAAACCTGTAGTTCAGTCACCTGGATCTCTATACTGTTTAGAAAAGGAAAAGACACCCCTCTCATCAAATACTCCTTTAGCCAGACCAGAGATGTTACTTTTCACCTGGTTGAGATTTTGGGGGGAAAAACTGCACTTGTGTTAATTTCTCCATTTACCACAGAAGTTCTTGATGAGGTGACCGGTGCCAAGGCCTCCTGTCACGCACTTCAACCTTTTTGTTTATGAAGGCTTCTATGCAAGGAAGAGTGAGTGAGCCCCATCTTTTCCTCCCACTGAAGACTGCAGTCACTTCACTGAACACGGACAGACAGGACGATGCAGCAACAGATGGAGTTCAACATGAAACCAAGGAAGGCTGTCAGATGCAAGCATTGCAGACAGCAGTCAGGGGCTACCTGTCCTGTTCTACGTAAGCGAAAGGACAGGACAAGACAGGAGGAGACACCAGCAGCATCCCAAGGTTCCTGATGGGTAAGAAGATAAGAAGGGCTCTGAAAGAAGCACCTGCCCAGAGCTCTGTCTCCTCCAACCCCGCCTCCCCTGCCCCCATCTGCCTGGGTCGGGTCCACCGGGACCCGGGATATGGATCACATGCAGACTCCCCCCCCACAGGCCAAACTTCTCACACTGGGGCCAAAGCGGCAGGCACCACAGGAGGCTAGGGAATCCGAGGAGCCACAGGCAAATGTGAAACACTTTTCTGGAACATCAATTCCACTAGATGACTTGAGGAAATTATTTTCGATATTTGGAGAAAAATGCAAAGTTCTCATGCATTTCCAAGGACAAAGCAGAAGACTTCAAATAAAATGTTATCTTTTGTGAACTGAGTTACAGCGGCAGGTCCTTTGCCACTGGGGTTACTGCTGGCTGGAAGCATCCCTTCTCTAGATTTTAGGTACCTAGGCATTGAAGGGTTAATGAATAAGAGAGGTCACAGCAAATTCTGTGGCCTTTAGGAATACTGGTCAGTTGAAAGGAACGGTTTTGATTTCTCCCTTGATTGTACTTCCTGGAGCAGAGATGCGGAGCAATGCAGCCTGTCTTGGAGACAATGAATCTGCGGCTGAAACAAGCAGGTGTGCTGGATGCCAGGTGCAGTCACAAAGTAAAGGACGCGCAGGAACCTCCCTGCTACAGGGCAGGCCCCAAGCGGCCCGAACGCTCTTTGCCTAGCCATGACGTTCTGCTGCTGTCACTGTGGCTGAAGAGCTCTCTTCCTTGGAAGTCATGAGGGGTTCAACATCTTTTAAAATCCAGACAATTCAAAGGGCGCCTGGGTGGCTCAGTCGGTTAAGCGGCCGACTCTCGATTTTGGCTCAGGTCATGATCTCAGGGTGCTGGGATCTAGCCCCACGGCAGGCTCTGCGCTCAGCGGGGAGTCTGCTTGAAGATTCTCTCTCTCCCTCTGCCCCGCCCCCCGCTTGTGGTCGTGCTCTCTCAAATAAACAAATAAATCTTTTTTTTTTT